CCCCCTTCCCGGTCGTATGTAAGACCTTCCCGTAGGCATATGTGGGAGAAGCTTTCACGTGCCAGGCAGGGGGCCAATTGGCTCCAAGTCAAAACCGGCAAGGCGTTGAGAATTAACAAATGCGTAACAGAATTCGGCCAATGACGGATTTGTGATAGTCGGCCGACTCGAGAAACGGACATTACCAGTAAGTAGCTGGTGCTTTATAAGCACTCGACTCATATCTTAATTTAGCTGACAATGGCCTAAACACTGGTAACTCGTCGCTACCGGCAAACATCTAATTATACCTTATTTTAATTTATCTCAATACCAGTAACTCATCACTACCAGCAAGAAAACTATTTCTGGATACCAGTAGCACTTCGCTCCAGTATGGCTCTCGAGTTTAATACCGGTAACCTCTACTGCGATACGGAGCCTCGTGTCCTGGCACAGTTGAAAACGGATCCCCTGCTCCATTCGCCTCATCATGGCATGAGCTTGTCGTGCTCCATGTTCATCTGCCGCCGCGAATCCTGGCTTGGCATCTGTAATATCCTAATCGGTGTTAGCGTTGGTGTGATCGACGGTCAGGAACAACAAGCTGGGCTTGAGCGGCTTGGCATTTCCATTATCCCACTTAGGTTAGAAACAGTATCGTGTAAGTAAGAATATTCTCATGCCAGAGCTGATGGGATCCTTATATAATGCCTTTGATGGAACGTAGGAGCGGGTTGTTCTCTCATAATGCTCTATTACTTGCTTATCACGTCCTCTGAAAATGGCGGAACCTGGAGAGCCAGGTATAAGCTTCGTCCCTTTTCAACTACCAGCTTGTTGACTAACGCGCGAGCCAGTCCTGTTCAGTCTGTACGTCTACCAGCCCAACACGGGAGCAGCCATCTTCTTCACCATTGCGTATGCTGTCTCTGGTGCCTTCCACGTCTGGCAATGCCGGTAAGTGCACTACCTCGATTCTTCTCAACCCTTGGGACATCTAACTCTGGCTGGTAACAAGCCGCTACAATGCTTGGCGATTGATCGGCTTGCACCCTCTCTGCGGCCTGACGTTAACCGCGGGCTACGGGTTGCGCATATGGGGATCTTACAACTTCCTGTACAAGGTCGATGACGTTACGCCTCTCATCATGTTTATTCTCAGTCAGTGCTTTATTTACATCTGCCCGTAAGTTAACCTTATTCGGGGTCCTGTAACACCAAGCGCCTGGTTCGTCAACGTCAACTCACCATCTTTCCACGGCCCGCTAGCCCTCTCCTCGAACTCGCGAACTACCATATCCTCGGCCGAATTTTCTACTACGTCCCTCACTGCTCTCCTTTTCCCCCGGGGAAGGTCTTGGCCTTTTTCGGCGGGCTCATGCTTCTGGTCGAGCTTTTGAACGGCCTGGGGGTGGCTCTTTTCGCGAATCCATCCTCGGGAACGACGCAACAGAGCGTTGGCGGCAACATGACGATAGCCGCCGTCACTATGCAGTTGATGATAATCCTCGCCTTTGTCTGGCTGGCCTTTGTCTTCTACCGGCGATGTAGGAAAGCGCATATCCGATCCAGGTCGGTCAAGACGATGCGGACAACCTTGTACACGAGCATGGCTTTGATCTTCATCCGTTGCGTCTATCGCCTCGTCGAGCACACGGGTCACACGCACAAGGACCTGGATGATATTGAGTCTCTCAGAGAGCTGAATCCTCTTTTCCGCTTCGAGGTCTTCTTTTACATCTTCGAAGCTTCCTTGATGCTGGTCAACTCCATCATCTGGAACATATGGCACCCAGGTCGTTTCTTGCCACGGGACTACCATGTTCACCTAGGACCAGACGGGAACGAAGTTGCTGGCGAAAAGGACGAGGATAATCGACCCATGTGGGCAAAGGTTGTCAATGCCGTGACGTTCGGCGTCATGTATCGCAGGAAGGCCCCGCTGCAGCAGTTCCAGGAACTCACCGAGCGTCCGACACCGAGCAATCGCTAGTAAGACCTAGGTCACCCCGTATCTATTCACTGCAGCTAATCAAATTCTGTAGTTTCAGAGAAGATTAGCTTTGTAGTGACGAGACGGTCGATACCGGTCGTAGACTCGTACGGCTGCAGGGGCGTACTTGTATACTACGATTCCCCCAACTTTTCTTTTGTACACTTAGACGCTTGTTTAAATTCTGGAGCTTAGTTCCAGGACTGACTCTGGGTTATTTATTTCTAAATTCTTGCAAACGGGTATTCAATAGATCGTTCCTTTCCTAATCTTAACGACCACAAAATATCCATCGTGATCATTGGTATTTCTGATGATGAATCGTTTGTATGAGAGAAAAGTTGTTTCCCAATCAGTGAGACTTGCATAGTTGCTTGAAATAATGACCCAGCTGGCGCACGATATTTCTCTTGACTTGATTGCTTATAGTACAGATGATGGTGGCGCGCCCCTCCTCGTCCCTCGAATTGATTCAACGTTAAGAATTTCACCTGATGAATGCCAGTTTGATCTCTTCTCCCTCGCTATCTTGGACTCATGTCGGAATACAGACGGCTAGTGTCGACAGCAATCTGCGTTGTGAAAACATACGGCTTGTCAAAGCAAGCGTCCCAGCTGGTCATACCCGAGGCCCAGAATGACTCGAGCACACGCTTGGCCGCCAGCGGTACGTAGATGCCGACATGCCGACTGATTAGCGGCAGCTGCTCGGCTACGAAAGCACGCATCTCGGCGCATCCATGCACAGCTTCCACGCCCAGCACAGCCAATGGCCACACCATGAATCGCTGAAACCTCGGAGACGATAAACCTTCGCTCAGAAGGAAATGAAGAAGGTGGGCGTGCGTGGTGCAGCAGTCTCGCAGGGTCTGCGTTGAGGGCAGAACTGACAGGCTTTGAAGGGACAGGATGCAGTATAACGCCACGGCAGCACGATATACGCAGCCCATGAGCACCCAGTCCGAGTTTTGCGTGGCAGCGGACTTGGTTTCCGCCCATTGCTGTGGGGAAAAGCCGTGGATACGTTCTAGGATGTCGAATCCTTCGGTTTCAAAGCGTTCGACTTCTGCAGCGTCGTCGGTTACAGCTTGCATGCGGAGATGGTTGATCCTGATTATCTCACCGAAGAGCGGCAAGGGACACAATTGGAAGGGAGCTACCGCGCCACGGAATTGGTTCAGTATGAAATCGATGGCTTCGACGTGGAAGTCAGTCATTGCGAGGTCCGAGGCAGGGCATGTCGTGTTGCCAAGAACCGCCACACTGATGGAGGATTAGCGTCATGTATCTGGTCAGTGGGTTTCATGGAGCTGCGTACGTCCAGAGAACAAGCGAGAGAGGTTCGATGCTTTTCGAAAAAGTCAAGGTGTGGAAGCCACCGCGCAACATAATCCACTTGTGAACTCCCTCGAGGTGACACCTCCAGTCGAGTGAGCTGCCTTGTTGGATCTGGGGCGGGTCATCGTTATTCAGCGGTGTACATGTTCACCTGCGGCCACCTGCAGCCACCTGCGGCTCTAGGACTTGATGGACAGATGACTTACGTCCACGAGCAGGAGGGTCAATATCCCAGCAAACACCTTGTCGTCTGTTCTCCTGTCTTCGTCGTTTAGATGCTCATTGAGTGAGCGGATGGCGAGACCCCAGTATATATAGAGCTTCTCAGCCAGGACCCTAGTCTGGGGCCCGCCTCTAATTGTGTTTAGGCGATGGCTTAATGTCATGCAGACCATGCCGAGTTGCAGGTATGCGGGAGTCTGAGCCGCCGCCACTTGAAGATGTGCAGCTGTGATAGGATACACATGAGGATTCCGCCCGAATGCATGGATTGGTAGGAGGTCCTTGTATATGCAGGTGTTGACTACACTCGGATTAGCCCATCGTGGGAGGCGACTCAACAGCAAACAAAATGGAGTGAAAGTTTACTTGCAGTACTCTGCGGCCTGGGTCAAGACGCTGGTGGGAATGTCCATTCCAAACGGAGGCATGAGAATGGCCCGGGGACTCGGGGTTGTGCGCACAAGCTCTGAGATCCTTTTCGGCGCAGCGGCGACGTTGCCCATCGTCTGAAACTCATCTTTAGTAGTCATCGGGGTCCCCATTCCCTTCTCTTTTCGCGTCCGACGTCGAGATGTGACTTTTCCCGGTGTGAGCCATTGGATTCTCGGGGGTTTCACAGCGCTGTAGCCTGGGCATTCGACGCCAGAAGTGATGCATCGTTTGCATGCTGGCTCGGCAAAGTCACAGACTAAGCAGCGCCGTCGGCATTCCCAGCAGTGCCGCCTAGCTGATCGATGCGGAGCAGAAGGCGACTTTGACGACGTGGAGTCCTTGCTTGATGCTTTCACAAAGCCTGACGTCGTGCTTCCGTCTGATGGCGAGTTCGCCCGAGACTTGGCTGATGGATGCTCCATGGTGCAGCAATGAATTGGCGATCGAGGGGCAACGCATTCATCACACTTCATATCTCACTGACAGGATCGCCGACTCCCCGGGGTCCGAGCGTTGGCACGTGACACCTGCAGCCTGGGTGATTAGGATAGTGGGTCAAATACGGACTTGTTAATAAGTGAGTAAATCGTGTCAGATAAAGCGTAGTCAAAATCGTCAGTAATATATATAGTGTAGATTCTGCAGTTATCTACCCGGAGCGACCGACGTTAACGGACCGTCATCCAGCGGTCGATCCCGAGCCAAGCATCCCGGCTCCGGTGCTCATCGTTGTTCTCATAGGGCAGCAAGGGGGAATTTCCCGGAACCGCGAGAATAGCTGCGTCGTCTCCGGGACCGCATGTGAGATAGATACCCGAGGTCCCCCGACAACCTTGTATCTCGAGTCCTCGACCCGGAAGATTCGTGTAGAGTAGTTATCGATACGCGCTTCCAGGCGGGGCGCCGGCCACAATTGCTCCCGAATCGCTCGTTGGTTCATGGTAAATATTTTCCTCAGCCCGAACCATTTCATTTCGTTGCTCCCCTCGATCTACGCAGCGTAAAAAAGATAGAGGGATAATAATTTGCATCCGCACCTGCAACTGTTTGTCGCCGGTTGGCTCGTGCTGTCGCCTCATCTTATGGCCCTGCATCAATCCTTTCCCAATCTCAAGGCGTGCGGGCCTTGGCCTCGGCCATGAGCCCGCCAACCAACACACACACACACACAGACTGAACGCCGTCATGCAGCTTTGCCAAATCAGCTGACTACCGCTCGGTGTATGCGTGAGCAAACCTGCCAATTCCCTCGGGTCAAAAAACCAATGTCCCTGCTAGTCGAGGCTTTCGACCAGAGGTCCCATGGTACTGTTTGCTTGAACACCAGATGAGCACTTCTCCAGACATTTGCCTACTTTCTTCTTCTTTTTTTGTGTGTGTATGTGTAGTTCTCCGAGAAAAGACTGCATCCATAGTCTTGCTCCTTCGCCGTTCACAGATGATGAGCTCTCTTTCTCTCTCTACCTTATAGCCCACCGCCCGAGCAAGGGAAACGGATTTACAACACCGGCGGGCCGGCCGTTGGAAACTTCCCAGGCCCTCGAACCGGTCTCGGTTGTCTACCAGCAAGTTCCCTAAACCCGGATATGAAGGCGAAGCGACCGAGTGACCCAGGGACTCAGACACTTGGGAGAGAAACAGGGATTTCGCCAGTCCCCCATTTTCAAGTCATCCCTTCCGACCGTTTGTGGATGCGTTCTGATCTGCGCCTGCTGTAGTCCTCATGACGAGGAGGAAAGCCACCAACAGAATGCCTGACGATAGCAAAGAGTCTCTTCGATCACCTGGCCGCACCTCATGCGACCCGGCGGGCCGCGGCCGTTGCATCCATTTCGTGTGGACGACAACCAACTCTCCCAACCCTCCCAACCCTCCCAACCCAGATCCCCGATATTTCCAGTTGCCTAGATGAGCAACACCATGCGTCATTCTAGGGAGGATATCCCGTGATAAGGAAGTTTGGACAGGGCTTGGACCCGTACAGGTGATCAGGAGCTGCATCCAAGATTTGAGGAAGACGTCTGAACCAAGCACGCACCAAGGTGACTCTTCCTTGCACTTGCAGTAGCGGACATTACTGTACTTCTCCTCACTCTTTCCGAGGTACCTTCATATCAAAGGTACAGCGAGGAGACATCTCGGACATCTTGGACATCTTGGACACCCTGGTCCGACCCGTTACCACCACAGGGCTGTCCGGGGACATTATGCCGAAACGAGAGAGCGATATCCTGACCGGGAAGAGACAACCCAACCGTCATTGGCACCGCGCGCCCCCCTTGCCGCATCGTTAGAGGTGTTGGTGTGACGGATGGACCAGTAGGCAATACCAAGAAGAGATCATCTCGGCTATACCGCACGTTGGTCTTCAAAGACCCCCTCACCCTGTCGTTCGGCTACTTCTTTCGCAGGGCCATCGGTCCGCCGAGATATATACCGTCCCATTCGTCTTGCCCATACGCTGCAACCGTGTTGGTGACGAGGAACGAGGCGCTGCAGATCGCATCTTAAAGAGTGTCCATACACCCGCGTTCTTCGGCACCTCTGCCTCACCGCACCGTAGGACAGCTTCGTGAGTCCAGTCACCCCTGGCGTCCATCCCCACTCTTCATCATCAGCTCGGCCGACTGCCCAATCGCTTCCTTGGTAGAGAAATGAGCGAAAAATGGGTGTGTGCTGAAGCAAGGGGAAAAGCCAGGCGAGCATCGGGTGAAAAGAAACGGCTTAGCTGCTTGGTGGCTGCATCGGTAACGAGAGAGCTCTGCTGAGATGTGTTAATTTTCGGTTAGGGGATAGGCCCCTTTCCATCTTTTTTCTTTTTTTCATGACATCGTGTTGTCGTCTCGTCTGGTACCAAGCGTATGGTTGACCATGAAATGTGCGGCTACTGGAACTGGAGTAGGGGTATGGCTCGGCGCTTAGGTCCAGCCGAAGACTCTGATTGGCTGAAGCCACCGCGCATGTTCTTTCGTCACACGCTTATCGCATGTCGAGCGTCGAGAAAGCGCCAGCTGCGTTCAATCCGTCCTTCAAGAGAAAAGTCAAGAAGTCTAGTGAAAATCTTCCGTCCAGAAGTCTCTCGTCAATGCAGCCGGTCTCCCCCAAAACGGGTAACTGTAGCCAGACCACATCGGTGCTGAGCTTCAGGTATCGCACCCACCCCCAC